GTGTGTGTGTGTGTGTGTGTGTGTGTGTGTGTGTGTGTGTGTGTGTGTGTGTGTGTGAAAGAGACAGATAAAGACAGCAAAGGTTAAATGTGTAATTTTACATATATATGCATACAATCTCAGGTAAGGTCTGGTTTGTATATTTGCTAATGCTCACTCTGCTTCATGACTAATTATTTTGTTGCTACATGTACAAAGATTGCACAAATAAATTTTTCCCTGTATGAGTAGGTCTCGGGCAAAGCTCAAAGAAAAGGTGGAAGCTACTTTAGTATATGTTCAAAAATTGTAAGTTAAATGTTAATTTTTTACTTTGCACAGTCTCTAACTGATTTCATTTCTGATAAAGAAAAAACAACAACCCAAAAACAAGGAGGAATCCTTATGTTCACTCAAACTGTAAAATGGACAGTTACTTTTATAACCATAAAATATTGCTTATGACAGCCAAGACAAAAATATTCAGACCTGCGGGTACCCTTAGGTACCCACATTTAGTGTTGATCTTTAAAGTATAGCTTGTGTTCAGTTTCTTACTAAATCATTCGTTGTTTTATGTACAGGAGTAGCAGAAGTAGCTGCTTAATATAGCAGTACCATGTTTTTTTAGCTTTCCAGTGTAAGGGGTTTTTTTTGTTTGGTTTTGGGGTTGTTGGTTTTTTTTGCTAGTGTAGCGATAATAAGGCCCAGCTGCAAACTTTAAACAGTACTCCTTTTACTTTTGTGTCATTTACTCAGTCATTAGCAGATGGACATATATCAATAAAACCACTCCTATTTTGCAGAGCTACACACAAGCAAGCTTGTCTAAAAAGAGAAAAAAAATGTATCCAAGTGTATTATAGTATTAAAATGTATTATAGTATCCAAGTGGCAAGCCCACTTGGATACTATAATTCTTACTGGAGAACTGAAACCAATGAACGGATTTGTTTCCAAGAGTGCCTTGTAAGCATTTGCATTTACCCAGTGAACTGTCATCTCTTTAGCTATAGTCAAAAAAGTGGGTAATGATAATGTGTTGGATTTAGACAATAACTATTTGTGTAGTTCTATATCTATGCCTACAGCAGAAAATAAACTATTAATTTGCTTTTGATATGGGGTTATAATGAATACAAATTGTAATCATAACATCACTCTCTCTTACATGACAGCTTGGACATTTAATCAATTATTGTTGCCGCTTTCCCATTATGTACAGCTATGCAGCTGACAATGTGTCACTATTTTAGCTACGTGCTAGAATTTCTCTTATGTTGGCAGTGTGTGACTGACATTTGAGCCAAATTCAACCACTGTTGCAACCACTGTGGGGGAGACAAGCATATTCCTGGTAGGATCACACAGAGGCCAAGGAATGGATATGTATAGCTGGCTGGATATTTTGATTAAATTCTATTTTTTTTGTTAAAAAATCAGTATATATTATAAAAATATCAGTATCAGCAGCTGTACAGGTACCCACAAACACACACACACAAGTTGAGTACTCACAGTATTCCCGTTTTCCAGCCAGGTAATGGTTGGGACTGGATTTCCAGTGGCATTACATTCTAGGGAAATCTGGCTGCCATACGCCACCCTTTTGTCCTTTGGAACCCGCAAGATGCGTGCTGGAGCTGAGGGCACACACAAATAACAATAGCGTAGAAAACACACATGGTTTCACTGCAAGCTACAGCTTACATTAAAATACATACCTTGTACTTCTATGGTGACAGGCTTTGAAAAGGCCAAACCAAAGCTATTCCTGGCCACACAGCGGTACTGTCCTGCATCCTCTTTCTGTATGTTATGAATTTTCAATGCCCCATAGTCGAGAATAGTAACACGGTCATTGACCTGGAAGAGTTATTGTTTGTTTTAAAAATAGAAATGATATATTAGCATTATTTATTACCAACTATTTGTCAACACAGGCTATGAGACGCAAGAAAGCAAACTGAAAAACACATAATGGATAACTTTCCTTTTCAAGTAATGTCTTGCAGTTTTGAAAACCTGAAAACTATCCAGCTATTTGCAGTTCTGGTCAAATAGTGAAAAAAATGAATTACTCATGAGTATATGGTACTCTCAGACAGTTATTATTAACTCCATAAGTCAGTGAACTGCATGTATTTTACCTAGAAAACTTGCAGCAACTGTACCTTGATAAGCTCATCATCTTTGAGCCACGTGACATCTGGTTTAGGGTTGCCAAGGGTAACACAGGGCAACACTGCTTTGGATTCTACCAGTAGTGTTAGATTGGTGGGATGCCTTTTGATCTGTGGCTCTGATGACGAAACCAACAAGACATAGAACAGTGGCTTGGAATGTGTTCTTTTAATGATGCCTTGGTATTAGTTATTTTTTTCAAAAATGTGAACTAATGATCAGATTCGCTCAAACTCCAGTCATACATCCTCGGAAAAAAGTAAACATACTCATCTTTAGCTGAAGCGCTCCACAGCTCTTGGCAGGTTCTCCAATGCCATTACTGGCAAGGCAACAATACTCCCCATTGTCTGACTCTCTTACATGTGGGATGATTAACATCTGACCCTTTTCCTTGGTAAGGTACCGTGTGTCATAGTACCTAATGGGACAAAAAGGACAGTGCAAAGCAAAGAAGTGATCACTGGATATATGTTCTATATGTAATACTCCTGGGTTAGACTACAGCCCCAACCTAACTCTAAACTGGATCAAAATTAAATAAATAAAAAACAGGGGGGAAAAGGATGGATATATAAATATAGATAGAAACGTATATCTAAGATTAATCAGTGCAAGCACCTTGTCAAGGATAATATCCATTACAGTTCATTAGTGAAAAATAAGCTGTAAGATTAAACATATATGCACACACACACACACACACACACACACACACACACACACACACACACACACACACACACAGGCATTATTTAATGGCTTTAAGATCACAGCAAAGGAATTATCATCATGGTGCACAGCAAAGGAATTATCATCATGGTGACAGAGGATTGAAGAGATGATGTTGCATTTAGCTCATATATAAACTATCATAGCAAATTTCTTAATTAAACTACAACAGTGAACTTAAATAAGGCTGTAAACTTACATAATTTGGTGATTATTTTTGGTCCAGGTGATCTCAGCAGGGGGGTGTGACTCCACCTCACAGATGAAGGTGGCATTGTGATCCAGTAGAATGTCCACTGTCTCTAATAATGTGATGATACGAGGTGCTACGAAAAAAAGATCCAAAGGAAAAAAATCAAGATTTTCTTTATATATGTAAGTTATTTATTGTTGTAGTTGCAGCAGTTTGTGTTTGAGTTAATACATAAACATAGTGCGCTGAATTATGTTTTATGCTACATAATACACTGTTAAATGTTTATTGGTTATATGTTATTACCCTTAAAGCCTGAATGAAGAACTGTAAGGATAGTACATTGTATTTGCTGTGATTTTGGGTGCAGAAGCTACAAAACTTGAATTAATTATTTTTTCATTTATAGGTGACTGCAATTTTTCGAATTATATTGGCAGTTATTAGTTAGTCATTAGATACCGTATAAGTAAACTATGTCTAGAAATCTAAAATACTATTACAAAAGCTTTCATATTTTATAAGGAGCCCTGTTGATAGACAAAAATAGATATTGGACATTTCACAGTCAGTCTGTACACTTTTCTTTTCTTTTTTTACATTTATTTCAGCATGCAATATAATGATTCAAGCACATTATAATAAGTGATAAGGAGGTCTCAACAGCTGCATCTTTTTAGCTAAATTATTTGACATTCTTGGCATTCTTCTGTTGGTCATCTGTTTTAGTCAGTGAGGATCCAGCTAACACTGCTGACTAATGAGACAGGGTCAGAGGTTTTGTGCTTTGTCACAGTTTTGACCTGAGTAAGCAGAAGAATTTGACCTTGAGATAACGAAAGAAAAAGAAGAAGCATGTTTATTGTCAGAATTAACATTTAGGATTTGGTTAGTTTTGGAGGATTAAGACGAGGAAGGGAGGATAGCACAAAAGGAGAGACCAGTATAGAAGCTGAACTTTATCTAGTGTTTAGAGGGTTGCTGTTAGTCGGGTGAGGTTAAAGCAAAGACAACAGAGAAATTTAACATTCAAGGAAAGCCTTTATCCCCACAGCACCCAATGTTCTCCACTATCTGATTTCAGCACATGGTCTTTGTCAAAACTAGGGTGAATAAGTCACCAATTGTGTGTACAAACACTATGCAAAATATTACACATCTCTTGTGATGTAAATCCATCCAGACTAAAGATGTGATCAATATTTATTTGGCTACTCCGTCTTCATAACGGACAGGGAGTTGCAGGAATTTTGAGCTTGTATTTTCAACATTGTTTTGTTGCTCGAGGTTATTATATTGAGAAGTAGAGAGTTGGTAGTGGGTTTAAAAGAAAGATACAAAAAGCACACTTTTAAAAGACAAAGAGAAGTAAGGAGATGGAAACACAGGATTTAGATCAGAGAGTTAGGTTGCTTTAAACTTTGCACGAACTAAGAAGAGAAAGAGGAAAAATATAAACCAGCGGAGGGATGAAAGGAGAGAGCAGAGGAAGGGTGAGAGCATGGAAAGAGCAGAAGAAGAAGAAAGAAGAAGCAATGATAGGATTAGGGCTTACAGGGCATTGTGCTTGTTTTGTCTTTGGTGAAACCAAGATTTCACAATAACATAGCTGGGAGAAGCAGCCACATCCCCACCCTCAATTCAAGGTCACTGCTGCTGTGACTTCCTACTGACTGATGAAAACAAAACCTATTATAAAGCATACTCATGTACTGAAAAAGTCTTGGTCTTTAGAAAAATGATATATTTGTAGCTAAAGTCAAAGTAAGATGGAGGTCTATGAACTCAGTATCAATGAACTATTCTATGTATTGTCTTGTCAATTTGTGTGGACATTCATTGTCCCAAGAGAACAAATCCTAATTAATTCTGTGGTGAAATAACTTTCCATCTCATTAAAGGAAATTAACCACATGTTGAACTGCTGTTACCCTTGTTGTGGATTAAGGACTAGGCTGAATATCAGGAAACACTTCCTCTTAAGAACTTTAATTTTTTTTTCAAGTATTATGTTGTATTAAAGTTGCAGCAAATTTGGAGAAGACTGTTTGTTTCTGTCTGCAATGTCTTTCCATTGCCAATATTATGTCTGAACAGATGGGTAGCATCAGAAGACTGAAGCCAAATGACTCACCACTTAAAGCAAACGAGAACCTCTGCGGATCTGACCTCGGCAGAGGATTTTGTTTTTCCAAAATCTCTGAATGTTTTTTGGACACCAGAAATGACTCAAGGCCGTCAAGGCCTGCAATAGAGAAGGCCACTTACAGTGATCACTTCTGGCCTTTGCTATAGGCATTACAAACCCTTACAAACTAACAGCAAGTTCCTTTAATATTTTTAGTGTTGCTGTGTTAATGCTGATCTTGATTCGCTGAAGAAGTAGCAACCAGCTTGTTTATGCTAGTGTGCAGCACTTTAGAAATGTGTGTGTAATTCAAGAAATGTCCTGATAAAATGCATCTTTTCCTAATCTTTATCCCATAAAATGTGCTTTTTTCATACAGCCTGTAACTCATAATCTTTGGTTCCTTTGGAGTTTGCCTTGAATAAAAGTTTAGCCTCCAGGTTTTTTCCATGCTCAGAGATAAATTGTAAATACTATCCTCTTTCTCTCACACGCACACACACACACCACACACACACAACCAGGCATACTTCAATGCTGTTGTGCAGACCAGATAGAAGCTTTTGACTTTTACTTTGGACAAATGAGAACAAAACCAAAAAAAAATAGCATTGTTCTCATGGTGTATCTGGTGCTCAGATGTCTGCAAAGGATTCTTCTATTGTTTATACTAGTTCAGTTACACAGGCATGTTGAGCAACATTAAAAAGCCTCTTTAACTAATCAGGCTGCTTTTGAATCCATAAGTGATCTTGATTCTGAGAATAGACAGTTAATTACTTAACAATTATACATTGAGTCTGAAGGTGTACATATTGAAAGTCTAATTTTGTTAACTTGACAGATGCAGATTGAAACCATAATCCAATGTGTAGATTTCTGCTACTAAAAAGCCTGGACTGGCTACCTGTGCAACCACCAACTATCAAGTATACTTTTCGACTGTCAGTAACAGACACAACATATAAACTCCATGTAGAAAGGCCCCAGCTGACCAGGAGACTCAAACCAGTTACCTTCTACTGTGAGGCAATGCTGCAATGTGTCACCACAGTTGGTTCGTAGTCATTTCAAATTAAACCAAACACAGGAAAATAAAGACAGATCACCCGTAGCATGACATGAAAGTCAATATTTCTGTGCCAGCCATATTGGCTTTGGTCAATTAATCAGTGCCTGAAAAAACACAAAATAAAACAACCAATAGTAATAAGATAATAACACTTTTATAGCACTTGTCTGTCCAAAGTTGCTAAATATTCATTTACATATTCATCACAGTTTGTTATACTGTGGTCAAGCCAAACTCGTCACTTGATCTTAAAAAGTGCACCCATGATCATTTAATTTTCACAGATGTTTAAACTCAAATATTGTACGCTTTTGTGCAAAAGTCTTGAGTCACCCTTTATTTCTTTATATTTAGCTTTATATTTAGGAAATAGGTTCAGTGATCTATTGAAATATATACAAACATCCCAGAAATACAGTATATAAGAGAAAATAGAAGCCAGTGTCCAAAGAGAAAATTTGAAAGACCTTCAGAAAGCTTGGAGAACTTGTTTTAGACCGCTTTAAAACGTACAAGAAAGTCTGGGTCCTTGGAAGCAAAAGAAAAAAATGAGGAGTGACTCAAGACTTATTGTAAATCCGGTGGAATAGTTTAAGATGTTATATGTGTTGTAGATATTGTTTAAATCAAATCTTCAAGAAATACTTTTCTTTTCTTATTTGACTGTAGTTGATCTTCAATGACGTGGAAGAAGCTATGCACATCAATTCAACCTTCTGATCAATGACTTCCACAGGAAAAACCTACAGTCAAACCTAACCCTACACCATGTCAGTCCACCGTGTAGCTTGACTGTTACAATAGCCAACCAGGCAAAGAGAAACTGCATCTGCACCACCTGTTTCTATGAGACGATTTGTAGCATGTATAGCTTTATGTGTGTAGTCATTAAATAATTTCCAATGTGTAGTAGTGTATTATTGATGACTTCATCTCCATCTTGCATCTCATGACCCTGAAGCTGACCTTATTGGTTCAACAACAAGCTCAGGTTTGCTGTTTCCTCCCAATGTGGCTCAGCAGGAGGTGTCCCAATCAGGCTGAGATGTGGTGAAGAAGAAGCAGGAATAGCTAGTTCCCCACCACCTCTACCATATGCTTCAGAGAGGATATCCCAAAGTGTAGGAAGGATGTAGATTTAATCACATTTACACTATGTTGACCTATAAACACCTTCTCCTTTTCCCTGCAGGATGTGCAGTGGGAAACAGGTGATTACATGTGCCAGGAAAAACTCAGACTGCTTTCTCTTTGTCTTCTGCACATTATATTCACTTACACATGTGCACCCATCCAAAGGCACGGTCTTAAAAGGTTTATCCTTTTTTTTCCCGTTTTGTTCTTCTGTTTACATTTCGTGACATTTATTAGGATTGCTGTTGTAACTTGGCAAGCACATTGCAGCTTTCATGCATAATTAATTCAAACTTCATGTTCTTCTAATTATTCACCACGTCAGTGTAATAAGACACTTTAGAAAACTTTAAAAAGACAAGCTTGAAGGACCTCTGGTGTAGGAGTCTCACTTACCTGTCTGCATGTTGTAACATGAAGGGATCAAAATCAGCAGAAAGACCAAAATGTGTTCCACAGTCGTCATCCTTGCTCTAGAATTATTGGTCAGACCATTATCTAGCAGATACATAATGAGACTGGTGAGCTTCCCCCAGTACATATAGAGATGTTCTTGTTATGTTTCTCTCCTATGTGCATCTGCGTATGTCTTAGCCAGGGACAGCCATGAGCTCTGCGCTCAGCAAGAACCAGCTCAATCACTCTGCGTATGTATCTGTGTGTGCGCGCGTGTGTCTTTTAACTTTGTAACTGACGGCGGCAGCTGCTTGCTGTCCTCATGTACAGTCACTCAGGTTGTGTAGTTCTGCTCTAAGCTCCACAGGCTCCAGTGCTGGTGTGTTAACTACATTTAAAGTCATCAACAAACAGTTTTTATTTATCATATTCATATAAGACACTAGGTACAGGTTTTGGTCAGTATGGGCATACATAAAGACACAGAAATTCTGAAACTTCTACATTTTTTATATGCAGTGCAAATTACTTTATATTGGCATACTACCCTTTTTCTCATGCACCAATGGCTCCATGTAAATCTGGTCAGAGGTGTGATCCTTAAATACACAAGTAAAATAACCAAAAAGCCACTAAAGTCAGCTCATGTCAACCATCAAAAGAAAAATAAGGTATATTTTATCTGCAGATGTATCCTCTTTTAATATTAATACTAAGTCATTAATATTAATATATAAAGAAATTTACAAATACGTATTTTTAAAAATATATAGACAGGCTTATTTTAGCACATTACTTAACATGCATTTACTGTTATATATTGACACACACACTCCAGAAGGAAGCCTTTGTGCCCACCTGTTGCCTGCCAGCCTGTACGTCCTGTTTTATTTTGGGAAAGGAATGGCATTTCAGTTCATTTGCTCCTTATCCATTCTGCTTCAGATACACTCTACTATTGTACTCCATCAGCACACACAGTTAGCTTCAGTCTGTCATCTGTGTAGGTTTAACTGTTGACCTAACGGATGTCACAGGGAGGTTTGTTTCAAAAAATTAATAAATAAAGCGGATTAAATTAAACGTAAAATACAAAGGATTGCTTGTTTGTGACCTTCTTGTTTTGTTTTGTTTTATCATTCTGTTCTTATGGGCTTTTTGGCTAATTAGCAAAAGCCTATAATATGAGAATTCCTTAACTTACAGTCCATGTAAACGTTGCGTCTGATGAAATAATTCACATCTGTTGATTGTCTAGCTCCATTCACCCTTTGCTATTTCAAAGAGTACATTAGCCTATTATATAGTAAACAGTATACAGTAAATGTTATATAAACTGCTGCTCTGCCAAAGCACAGGATTTTATTAGTTTACACTGCTGCTTGACAGAACTGGGCTGTATGTAGTGTAATGAGTCCAGTTTTTTTTTATCAGTTTTATTGTTTCATGAAAGTGTTACAACACCAAAGTAACCCAAACACATCAAAGAGATCAGTTTTTAACCTGCTATCAAACCAGGATAAAACTGAAAAAGATAACAAGATCCCTCTGAGACTGATAGGCCTGGAATCTCTGACTCAGTATTACCAGATGTCTCTGTTAAATATTTGCACTAATACTCTGCCTCCCTCTGCTGACAGAATCGCAGCAGTGGCTCCAATTTGCATCAGACTGAGGTTTGCAAACATACTTTAAAGACGTCCATTGTTTTGATAACCGTAAACTTTTTAACTTTTTTTTTCTCTACATAGGCTGTACTACCAGGTTTCTGCCCTACATTTTGTATTCATATGTATGTATTTGTTTAAATGTGTTTGTTGGTGCTCACATGCATGTGTATTTGACAAAAATTGCTTATTTGAAAAGATCATTGCTAAGGCTTTTGAGATTATGACAGTTGAACAAAACGTCTGTTTTCTTTTGAGAGAACACAAAAAATTACATTAAACTCCAAAGTCACATTTTTCAGTTCAGGTCAATTCAATTTTATTTATATAATGGCAAATCACAACAACAGTTACCTCAAGGTGTACTATAAGGTAAAGAGCATACATTAATACAGCAAAAACCAAACAATCAGATGACCCCCTATGAGCAAGCACTTGGAGAAAGTGGGCAGGAAAAACTCAGTTTTAACTGGAAGAAACCTCCAGTAGGAGCATGCTCAGGGAGGGGCAGTCATCTGCTCAGGACACTCAGGGCATCGTGGGAACCCCCCAGTAGCCCAGGCCTACTGTGCATAACTAAAAGAGGTTCAGAGTCACCTGATCCAGCCCTAACTATAACCTAATAAAAAGAAGGAGTCAAGTTCTATTTTAAAAGCAAACATACTGAATGTTGACTAGTAGGATTTTGTGGTGTTACATGCTGTAACCTGAACATCAACAAAGTAGATGTTTGATCCTGGCAGTGTAAGACACCTGGTCTAAACTTTTAAAAGGACAAATGTGCAGGATGTGAATAAACTCTGTATTTAGAATGTTGAAGACTTTCTAGATGGTTCAGTCCAAATGGTACAAACATCAACAGTGTTCCAATCCCACTACAATCTCAGTTGATTTGTAATTTGTAAAATTGCCCAGCAGGCAAATGCAATGTGTTATGCATAACCCCCACTCTCACTCTCTCCGGGCATGCATGCACAAACGTACAGTTAAGTCGAGTCATATCTGGTGTCAGTCAGCCACTCCCTATGAACACTGTCTCAACATGTTCTGTAATAATTAACCAGCTGCTGTGGGGTGCTACACACGCTCACCTCCTGCCACATGCACCGTACTCTGGACCTCCTACCACAAACACACATGTACATTATGCACACATGAGAGCTCGAATATGGAGTGAACTTGCTTCATTCGATAGAAGATTAAAAGATACACTAGTCAGGTAAGAGGAAATTTACTTTTGGTACATCTTCACTTTATACTTTGGTTTGTTAAGGTGTTCTTTGCAGCTGTAAAAGAACCAAAGAGTGTCTGGCTTAACAAAATGGAAATGAAATGCGTTACACCTCTTTCTGAGCAACACTTGCCAGTCACATTAAGAAAATAAAAGACTGTAATAGTTGAATTCTTTATATTATTTGTATGAAAAGCATACTCATTCTATGTTAGCCACATGGGGTGGACACCAATGTCACAGACTAGAGCTCATGTGACTCGAGTCATACAGTAGCCTGATACAGCACAGTTTATCTGTAGGCTGGAGTAGAACAAAGCTTTGTCACAATGTTTGTCAAGTTTTGCAGCCCAGGTGCAAGAAACAACCCGAAGGTATATTAAAATGACATAATCAGGTCAAATCTAGGGAGAAACAAAGAGCAAGGGCTATGTATGAAGACAGTCAGATACAGAAAGGAGTGGCAAAATGGGGAGGAGCAAAAAGTAAAGTAAAGGAAGTAAAACAAATACATGGATGTGTGTTTGTTTTCTTTGGCCTCATTCCGTTTTCATAGAACCACAGCTGACAATCTGAAAAAGGCTTTTACTGCATACACACACAAAATCATCTGTTCAACCTCCAGATAACATCGTACTAAAAGTAAAGTGAAGCAGTCAACTGTGGCACTGAATTGTGTGAAGTGTATATGCCAAAGAGTTGTAAAAGTTTCCGAGTGATTATCGCATGCTATCAGAACATATGCCCTCTCAAAATATAAATAAATAAATAAATCTATTTCCTGATGGCTTGTTTAGTGGATTAGCAGAGAGAGGGCTGTAAAGTGTTCACCTACAGCGGGATTTTTACTCACCACTAGCCTCTTGAGAGAACATAAATATATGCCATGGTTCTATTCAAACGTCACATTTGATGCTGGCGATTTCTTTCTTCTTTTTTTTTCTTTCTTTTTTTTTTCTGCAAGCAAGATTTACAACTTTAAAGGTCACTTGTCTTCCAGTGGATGTCCACCCTCAAAGCATGCTTTGTATAGACTTTAAGAGTCAACTTTTGATTATAATATGCAAAATATTTTTAAATGAAGAATTAATTATAAAAATGTATAACTACATTGTAACAAAATGCAAAAAACAAAATTTTTTAAAATAATTACATTTTTGTGAATACACTATAATACTGTGAATGTGGATGCTGTGTGAAATGGTGATAAATTGCTGTGTATTCTTTATATTCTTCAGTATATATACAGTAGTTGTTTCCTTTATATTACAAAGGCTTATAAGAGGTCAGTGAAAGCGCTCACATTATTATATGCTAGAGCTTAAATTCTCTGCAGCTTACTACCATGTATCACGTTTTTATGACTAGAAACTGTTCTTGTCGATCACATTAGTGCTGTGATTTCTTAAAGCAAATACCATTGGAATGATTTAACCTTTGCATACTGTTCAGGACAAATTTGGACCATTTCAAGATTAAATATAAAAATAAAATACTTCAAAATGTCTAAATGTCATTCTTTTAGCCTGAAGAGTGGCTTGAGAAGTATTGCCATGGCACAGATACAAGGTCTGAAATATAGTTGGATTATGGAGGTCCAAAACCCAGTTAGGCCTTTCTGTGTGGAGTTTGCATGTTTGACCAATTCCAGAGCACTTGGGTTATTCTGGCTTCCTCTCACAGTCCAAACACATACCTGTTAGTTTAATTGATAATTCTAAATTGGGCTTTTGTATGAGATATTGCTTGAGCTGCACTAAAGTGATATATATATTAATTTTAAATGGTTAAAACAAAACTTGTAGCTAAAAGTGATTTGAGTGGTCACAAAGAACAGAAAGGTTATATATAAATGAAAGTACATCCTGTGCTTGTTTGTGCTGTGTAACTACAAGCACAAATATCCACAATGCAAGGAAAAAATCTAAAAATAAACAAATAAGAATATTTTTATACCGCGCAAACTGAGATTAAACTAACTGAGAGCTAAGATTAAAACAGAGCTCATAAGTGGGGTGGTGGGATGATAAGATTAGAAAGGCACGTGACTTACCAATGCTTTGAATGCACAGACTAGTTTGCAATAGGCAAGTTTTTGTTTTTTTGTTTTTTGCTTTAAGATTTAATTATAAATGTTTTTTTGTGAAACAAGTGAAGACAATGATTAATGATTATAATAGTTCAACACGGTTATATTTGTTCTTGCGATTTTCACTCTCAGTAAAAAATAAATTACTATGCTTATAATGGTTAAATCTCTTAGGTGAGATGATGTTCTCAAAAATGAACGTTATTAGATTTAAAAAATGAAACATGTATTAATCTTAATAGGCAATTTATACATTCTAAAAAGAGTTGCTGATTAAAATTTGTTGGAAACCCTAAACTC